ACACACACACACACACACTCTCTCACACAGACGCACACACACACACTCTCTCACAGAGAGACGCACACACACACACACACACTCTCTCTCTCACACACAGACATTCTCTCACAGAGAGACACACACACACACACACACATTCTCTCACAGAGAGACACACACACACACACACTCTCTCTCTCACACAGAGACGCGCACACACACACACACACACATTCTCTCACAGAGAGACGCGCACACACACACAGAGAGACGCACACACACACTCTCTCTCACACAGAGAGACGCACACACAGACTCACTCTCACACAGAGAGACGCACACACAGACTCACTCTCACACAGAGAGACGCACACACAGACTCACTCTCACACAGAGAGACACACACACAGACTCTCTCACACAGAGAGACACACACACAGACTCTCTCACACAGAGACACACACACACACTCTCTCTCTCACACAGAGACGCACACACACACACACACATTCTCTCACAGAGAGACACACACACACACACTCTCTCTCACACAGAGAGACGCACACACACACTCTCTCTCACACAGAGACGCACACACACACACACACATTCTCTCACAGAGAGACACACACACACACTCTCTCTCTCACACAGAGAGACGCACACACACACTCTCTCTCACACAGAGAGACGCACACACTGACTCACTCTCACACAGAGAGACGCACACACACACTCTCTCACACAGAGAGACGCACACACACACTCTCTCACACAGAGAGACGCAAACACACTCTCTCACACAGAGACACACACACACACACTCTCTGACACAGAGAGACACACACACACACACACTCTCTCTCACACAGAGAGACATACACACACAGACACACACACACACACACACACCACAAAACAGATCTCTCTGTATCTGCCAGTGCATGACTTAAGTCAGTCACTAAAGGCCCTACAGTAACAATCCAGGATAAATGGCCCTCTAATTTGCCCTCTCGAACAGAAATAGGGATAGAAATTAAAACCCCTCTCCACATAGTGGTAGCTCAGCCCTGGAAGACTTGGCAGGGACTTGCGAGCGCTATGTTCACCTACACCCGAGTGGAACCTGCCTGATCATGTGACCCACATCTTAAAGAATCTGACTTTCTTCTCTCCCTCTCCCCAACCCCATCTCCTCCAGTCAAGGAAGTCTAATTCCAAATTGCTCCTGGCGTCTTCCAGTGCAACATGAGCTCTTCAACAACTCAGTGCGACATGAACTGTGCCCCACTTCCAGACGTAACTAGATATTTCCATTCACTTCACCAAAGTGATAGCAGCTTACTTCATTTCTTGGTCTTCCTTCGAGACTCGCTTGGGGCTGTATTTCTTCACCAGTGTCCTGGGGGAAGGAAGCATAATTATCACTTAAAGCAAACCGCTCTCCTCACCATTGGTCTATGATGATACAAAGCCGTGGTTAGACCACAACTGGAGTTTCTCTGGATGCTATACCACGTCAGCTTTAGAGGGAGTGTGGCACAGAATTCACCAGAATGATACCTGAACCCACAATTAAATTACAAGGGGAGATTTACAGAAACGACGATTGTATTCCCTTAAAGTTAGAAGATTAACGGTAGATTTGAATGACCTTTCCATTACATTCAGGGGCAATCAATAGAGTATTTAGGGAGAAATTATTTCTACTGGTTAACAAGTCTTGGACTGAGGGTACTAGTCTAAAAATTAAACAGTCAGATCTTTCAAGGGTGAAGTTTGCTAACAGGTCTGCTCACAAAGGGTAGCAGAAATTTGGAACTCTTCTACAAACACCATTCAAAGCTAGGCAATCATCAAATTTTAAATCTGGGATCGACAGAGTTGTTTTCACCAGGAGTATTGAGGGATTGGGATAGAGACACTTAGGTCACAGATTAGCTGTGATCTCAGGAAATGGCTTGAGGCTTAAATGGCTTCTTCCTGTTCCAGTTCCAATGAGATAACTGAACATCATCTGACAGCACCATCTTCTGAACATTATGGTGAGTAGTGACAGATGACATGGCCTGCCCAACGAAATAAGCGTGATAGGGAAGACAATCCAGTTATTTTTTTAAAATTCGTTAACAGGATGTGGGCGTCATTGGCGAGGTAGCATTTATTGCCTGTTCCTAATTGCCCAGAGGGCAGTTACGAGTCAACCACATTGCTGTCGGTCTGGAGTCACATGTAGGCCAGACCAGGTAAGGTTAGCAGTTTCTTTCCCTAAAGGACATTAGTGAACCAGATGGGCTTTTCCAACAATTGACAATGGATTCATGGTCATCATTAAATTCTTAATTCCCAGATTATTGTTGAATTCAAACTCCACCATCTGCCATGGTGGGATTCGAACCTGGGTCCCCAGAACATTATCTGGGTCTCTAGGTTAACAGTCCAGCGATAATACCACTAGGCCATTGCCTCGCCTATTAAAGAGCAAACTTCATCAACAGATAATGTTATGCAAAATGTAACCACATTTGCTGTCCTCTGCACTATAGAATACTGTCTTTGCTCCTTTGAGCTTGCGTCTCGTGTTTTATGCAAACCATGACCCTTCCCTTCTTTTTGCAGCTCATTTTGGAAGTGAAGCATCTTCAGACCATACCTCCCTTACCATACCTCTGCCCCAGTCTCCACACCAATACTCCAGTTTTCTGTAAACACCGCATTATTAAAACAAAATGTATCACTGCAAACAAAACAAAATCAATTTATAGAATTAAAACTCTAGTGAGTTCATAAACACTGGCATGGAGAAAAAGAAAGAGGGCTGTGGTCATAGTTTGGGTCTCTGTATTTCTACACCATACAAGCTTCATTGTTTCATTTCTTCATCCAAGTAAAACTCTTAAAAGGTTCAGTCTTGCAGATTCTTGGGATGGGACACTGCCTCAATAATAGCTCTTATGGAGTATGAGTTTGGAGTTACATCGCAGTGCGATATAGGATCTGGGTGGCACGGTGGCTCAGTGGTTAGCACTGCTGCCTCAGTGCCAGGGACTCGGGTCCGATTCCACCCTCGGGCGACGGTCTGTGTGGAGTTTGCACATTCTCTGCGTGGGTTTCCTCCGGGTGCTCCGGTTTCCTCCCACAGTCCAAAGATGCACAGGTTAGGTGGCTTGGCCATGCTAAGTTGCCCATAATGTGTAGGGGAAAAAAATGCAGGATTACAGAGACACTGGAGGGAGGTGGGTCTAGGTGCTATACTGTTCAGAGGGTCGGTGTGAACTCAACAGGCCAAATGGCCTGCTTCCACACTGTAGGAATTCTGTGATCATGATTTAAAAGTCCTGCTCAGGAGAGAAAGGGAGTAAATGAAGGGGGAGGTGGAAAGTCTCCATTAAATCAAACTGCATTCTACATCCTCTGCATTAACCCCAGGAAGAAACTCTAAGGACCTCTTTAAAAAAAAAACAAGATTTCCTCTATTTCCTCTCTTTTTGTCCCTGTCAGTGCTCACTCCCAGTGGAATGAACATTTTATAGAAATAGCCCTCTACTTCTTGAAACTCAAACTCGAGAATTTTTTTTAATTTGAGCTAAGCGAGTCTAAATGTTGACAGGACATCGGACTGCGGAAAGCATCCCAAGATAGTCTGATGTGAACCTGTTTCTCTTCCTCAGCAACAGAGGTCAGGGAATATGACCAAGAACAAAAATCATGTCCAATTTCCCCTTTCACAGGGGCCTAGGGGACAGCTGCTATCCCCTATCCCAGATGCACAGAATGGGAATAAAACCTTGGGAATCTCACACTGCAACTGGAGAGGGCAAGACCTTGTAAAGGTTCCTTAAGCGTGCAGTCATTTCAAAGTTGCTTAAAATATAAGAGAGTGTGTGTGTGCATATGTGCAACAATGAGAGAGCTGAGTGTGCAAGACAGAGGGAGAATGAGGACAAAGGGATAGTGAGAAGGTAAGAGAATGTGAAGACAAAAAAAAAATCCTTAGAGACCAGGTGAAAGATGGAGAAAACATGAGCACTTTAAGACAAAGCATGGCAGAGGGGGAGAGAGTGTGAAGGTAAGAGATTAAGGAAGGGCATGTGCGAGTGTTTCCCCTTCCTTCACCTCCATTTTAAACAATAAAATAATCTCAGGCCTATAAATTAGTGCTTGTTCCCACTGGTTTAACCAGGCCCAATGACCAACAGTAAACACACACCTGCCTCTCAGTTGAAGCTGAAAAAGTGTCTGGGAGGGCAGAAATTTGATAAACATGGTGAGTTTTGAATCCTTCCTGAAATATTTTCGATCTCAAGCCCTTTTTATTTTTGGTTGTGGAAGGCATTTGAAAAAGGAAGTAAAGCCCAGATGGTGAAATGAATCTTTTCGACTGTTTTCTCTGCATCGACAGGGATCTAGTAGCTAGTTGGGTTGGTGGGGGATGGGACGGTGCGGTGGGGAAAGGGGAGGGGAGGGCAGAGCTTGACTTGAATGCTTCCCGCTAAAAATGAAATTCAAAAGGTCGAAGATTTCAGCTTCCTGGATGTCCACCATGTTGGGTTTTGAATTTATCAGATTTGTTCAGCTATTAACAGGTAGAAAATCTAGTAGCCTACAGACGCATAGGAATTAACACTTCTAGGCAGCAAACGGAAATTATTTGGAGTCATCAAATGTCAAATAAGGGTGAAACGTGGCCAATCAATAATGGATCAGGCCCTCTCTGAAGCTATGATATTACTTCCTTGGGTTTGTTTTAGGCTGTCTCAGGACGCTATACAAATGCAACTTACTTTTACTTTATTTACATCTTTTGTATGTAAACCACAGGCGAATGTGAGGAAGAACTTTTTTTTATGTAGGGAGTTGTAATGACCTGGATGGAACTGGCTGCTTAAGAAGGTGGAGGAAGTGGACAGGGCCAGTGATTCAAAGGGAAATTAGTCAGCTACATAGAGGAAATCATCTCGCAGCATTACGCCAAAATGAAACTGATTGGACTGTCCTCCAGAGAGCCACCATGGATCCAAAGGCCTCCTCCTGTGCTGTAATGACTCTAACCTGATCTCTTTTTAAACACTGCTCCCAAAACATTTCCATGTCCTATTGTGGCTCCCTTTTTACAAAACAAAAAATTCAGACATGCCATTTTATGTGCCTATAAACTTTCTTCTCTTATTTTCTTTAATTTGTTTTTGTAACTTGGAAGAAGAATTCCATCTGAAAAACTGGGAGATTTCCTTACTCTGCTCCAACAATCTGTGGTCTCCAGCAAATAGCACATCTCCCCATTCCACCTCGTGGTTTCAGACTCCAGCCTTCCGACTGGGATTGGAAGATTCAGATAAAGCCAATTAACTTGTGGAGGAGGTAGTAGGAACTTGTGGAGGATTTCTGGACAATGCTATTGTGCGTTTCTGCTCTGTTTAGCGTTACGTCGTACGTCACTAGTTTTCACGATGCGCGTGTTGATCCCAACAACTAGAGGCTCCTTGAAACATTTGCAGTTAGAATTCATTCTTTCTTGATCTTTCTCATGCACAATTTGATTCTCCAGACTACCAGAGACGCACTGGGCTGAATCTTGGGGTTTTTTTTGGCTAAGTTGGGGAAGTGAGGATAATGGCTCTTTAACAGAATCATCCAATTGGATAACGAGGATGGAAAAGTTGAATGTGGCTGGGGTTGTGCACACACAGTGGGGAGGAAGAGATTGGAGATTATGTAAAAGGAAACCAGAGTTAGTGACACTAGGCCTCAAGCCTGAGCCTGACTGAACTTCAAACACCGATAAACAGGCCTCGAGCTTACCTCAGCTGCTTGGCATATGACTGTTCGATTTCAGTCCGATCCTTCACAAACTTCACATATTTCTCTATTAGATCGATTCCCCATTGGGTTTGCCGGTCTATGATGTCATATTGGTCCTGGGCGAAGAAATAAAAAGAAAAGCAAGTGGTCAGAATTCCAAGTCAGGCAGAAAGGTGGACTTGCATTACCATGTGGTACCGAAAATGCAGAAAGCTGTTCTCATGTCCATCCATCTGTGTGGGGATCAGTGTCCTTGGCTCCTGGAGCCTGCGTGAATGACTGAACCGATTACAGCCGACAACAGGTTAACCTCAACTCGCTCTGCTTCTGGTTCTTGCGTGACAGTGGATAGAACATAGAACAGTACAGGCCCTTTAGCCCACGATGTTGTGCTGAACTTTTACCCTAATCCTAAGATCTATCTAACCTCCACCTCTACCTTATACTATCATCCATATGCCTATCTAATAGCCGCTTAAACGCCCCTAATGAGGCCGACTCCACTACCCTCTCTGGCAATGCGTTCCACGCCCCTATCACTCTGAGTAAAGGACCTATCTCTGACATCTCCCCTATATCTACCTCCACTCACTTTAAAACTATGCCCCCTCATAATAGCTACCTCCACCCGAGGAAAAAGTCTCTGGCTGTCCACTCTATCTATACCTCTGATCATTTTGTACACCTCTGTCAAGTCACCTCTCATCCTTCGTCGTTCTAAAGAGAAAAGCCCTAGCTCTCTCAACCTTTCCTCCTAAGACCTTCCCTCCGTTCCAGGCAACATCCTGACAAATCTCCTCTGCACCTTTTCCAATGACTCCACATCTTTCTTGTAATAAGGCGACCAGAACTGGGCACAATACTCCAGATGTGGCCGAACCAGGCTTTTGTATAGCAAGCTTGTTTGGGAAGTCCCACGTAGGCGATCAGGGCTCACACAACAAGGAGGCCACCTAATTGCTGAACATATGTCCAACAGGAAACATTTCCCTCAGGGGAGGCTAACAGGAAAGGACCCAAGGGGAGGGTACACTGGGAAAAATGTGAACAAAAATAACTAACTCTTATACCGCTCCAACGACCTCAGATCACCTCAAAAGAGTTTTAACAGCAAATGATGTGCTTTTGGTGGTCATCACCTGTTGCGATTTAGGAAACAAAACAACCAATTTTAGTACAGCAAGTTCCCACAATTCAAAATGTGCTAATGACCTGCTTGGGGGTTGATATTGGCCAAGAGACCCGGGATAACCCCAGTTCTTCTGTTCAATACCACAGCGTCTCATCTAAGAGTCAGCACCTCCAACAGTGCAGCTTCACTCCTTCAGTACTTTTGTTTTTGCAAAAATACACTTTATTCATAAAGTTATCTTTCTGTGCATACACAAGGTACTAAAACAGTTCTGTACAATCTTTGCATTATAAAGAAGAGCAAACATTGGAATTTGACATTCCCTGCGGCTGCAATAACAAAGGCATTTCCCACTCATGCAAGATATATTTTGAGGCAGACAAAGGGTTCAATAACTAATTGGACCCCACTGTACTTTGGCAGAAAGACCTTAGACAGTGGTCTGGGCAGGATCTGCCCCAAGCTCTACTGTATCCCTCAGCATGCAGTCCTGGACCTTGGGATGTGTCAGTCTGCACCACTAGGTCGAGGTCAACTCCTTGCTCTGGAAGACCAAGAGGTTTCGGGCTGACCAAAGATCGTTTTTGACCGAGTTTGTGGTCCTCCAGGTGTAGTCGATGCTTGTCTCGGCTTGCATCCCGGGGAACAGGCTGCACAGCAGAGATTCACGTGTCACGGAGCTGTTTGGGACAAACCTTGCCTTCCAATCCTGACGGCCAGCCTAGAATGTGTCAGACCCGAGAGCGGGATTTGAACCCACAACCACTGACACAGAATGCTGACACTGAGCTGTAGCTGACACCTTGTGGACGGAGTAACTTTATTAAGAGAGCCAAAGTGTGACTGTTGAGGAAAGAACAGACCTTAAAAGTGTGTCGACCTCTTCAAAAAACATTTTTCAAATCAACAAATTAACAAGAAGGGAGAGAGAGACAGTGACAATGAATACATATAAACTTCCCTTAATCACACACAGAACAAGATTCATGGAAGAGACACACAGTCTCTACTCAAATAGCAAGACTTTGGGTTCGGTCCACTCTTGTGGTCATTTCACAGCTATGAAGCATATTTCACTGTTATTTAATATTCCACATTGGAACTGTGGCATAATAACCCGCTTGAATTACATAATGTGTAATAACAAACCTCGGAGGAGGCTGGGATTGGTTATATGGTCAAGGGACCTGCTCTAAACGTTAGACAACATTTAGTTTATTTACGGGGTCAGAAGGAGGTTCATCTCTCAGTGTCAGGAGCACAGGATGTGCTTCCGCTGACACAAGCCATGCTGCCTTGCCTCAGACTGTGCACAGCTTAAACCAAGTGGGCCTGGGCTGTGGGAAAGAAGGAATTAAGGAGAAACGCTGGTGTGCTGACATTATCTGCTCATTACCCCAAAGTGAACCTTATACAACAGCTTCTTGCATTTTTATAGCATCTTTAAGTGAAGTGAAGTGTCCCAAAGTGCTTCACAGGAGTATCACCAAACACAAATTAACAACCAAAGGAGATATTATGGCAATTCACTAACCTAGAGAGGCAGTGGCATAGTGTTAATGTCTAATAGTGGACTAGTAATCCAAAACAATATTCTGAGGACGCAGTGGGATTAATACCGTGGCAGAACGTGAAACGTGAATTCATGGAATCCCTTAGAGTGCAGAAACATGCCATTTGGCCCATCGGGTCCACACCGACCCTCTCAAGAACGTCCCATCCAATTCAATTTCAAAAAAAGTCTGGAGTAAAAATCTACCCTCATTACAACCAACGTAAAATCCCAGCTGGTTCACTCATGGACTTCAGGGAAGGGAAATCTGCCATCCTTTCCTGGTCTGGCTTACACGTGACTCCAGACCCACAAGCAACGGGGTTGACATTTAACTCCCCTGTGGGGCAATTAGTGGCTCCGCCAGCAATGGCCCCTATCCCATGACCAAATGTTTTGAAAAAAGTTGGTCAAAAAGGTAAGGAAAAAAAACAGAGATTTAAAGAGGGATTTCTTAAAGCTTAGTGACTACATTTGGAGAAGTCAAAAGGCTACAGATCATATATTTCAACCCAAACAAGAAGTTAGATAATAAATTGTTTGCACAGCAAGAGGAACTCCAATAATCAGAAGTCTGCTTGGGGAAGAGTTGCTGGCTTTCCTTTGTACAGACTGAATGTTTCCCTCATTATAGCACAGAGACGAGACACTGACAGAAGCTTGCCCCATTTTCAATCCTTTGATGATTCCGAATAGCCTCTGAAAGGAATTCAAAAGCTTCCCTAGAGTTAGGACACCACTTTGTTGCTTTTGGAATCAGTTCAGATTACATAAGACCAAACACATTATTAGCCATATCCTTTGTTTTTATACAAGACAAAAACCTTTCGGTTTTAGTCCCAGGGTTTTGTTTGCTGCATATTTGGGAGGATAGGCATGCAGTAAAAAGCTGCGTAGTTTCAGAAGTAAAGGCTTGCTCGCCAAAAGATGTATTGCAAAGGCTTTATATTTAACTACATTTTTGTGAGGACTTGAAGCTTGAAGGCGTGCGGAAAAATGGATTTGTTTCAAATTCTGTGGAAGCTTAGATTTTGTTTTAGGGGGTTGATGAAAGCACAGATTGGAACTTCTTTAAAAATAAGACACTTCTGGGAAATCACATGAGAACTTCATTTGAATTGCTTGGACTCACTTCTTAAAAGTGTCATCTGCCTGCATTTTAAGGCAGTTTTGTTTTATTTTATTTGTTTGTGGATATTATCGTCATTGGCTGAGCCTGCCTTTATTGTCCATCACTAATTGTCCAGAGGGCAGGTAAGAGTCAACTACATTGCTATTGATCTGGAGTCAGATGTAGCCCAGACAAGGTAAATCCAGCAGATTTACTTCCCTGAAAGACATTTAGTGAACCAGCTTTTTTTTTTTAAATGACAATCGACTGTAGTTACGTGGCTGACATTTGGCCCAGTTTTTAATGCCAGACTTTTACTAATATCAAATTTCACCATCTGCCATGGTGGGACTTGAACCCATGTCCCCCAGAACGTTAGTCTGGGATTACCAGTCCAGTAACATTACTACTTTGTAGGTAGTTGAGGGGAAAAGCCAGCTAAAAGTCTGTCCGGGTCATCTCTGCTGAAACAACCTTGCTGTAAAGCCTAGCGTGGAACTCAATGCCCTCTGGAAGAGTTACTAGAAAACTTCTCGATACTGTGTTTCCTGAGCAAGTTGTATCTGCCAAGAGCCCAGATCAACAGCCATCTGGATATCTTAACTGTCTGCTTCGTAATTAGGCATGGGCATTAAAGATAGGCCTAGCCAGTGACATCAACATCACATAAAGGAATTTGAAAAAAAAAGACAGCCTTAAAATTCAGGCAGTGGACTTCTAGCAAATTGATTGGACTCACTTTGTAAAGTTGTCATGTGCTTTCCCAGAAGTATCATTTTAAAACAAAAAATTCCAGTGTGTTCTTTCACCAACCCATTTAAAAACAACTCCAGGTATCCACAGAACCTGAAATATATCCATTTCACACCTTTTCCTTTTATTTTCTTTCAACAATGAACAATTATTGGCCAGAAGTGTTCCTTTTCTTTCCCCAAAAGTGGGTTTCTGCAGAGAAAATCCATTTTATTCCCTCTGCCTGAAATGTGTGTGTGTTTTGGCTTATTTAGAGGATTTCATATAAAAACTATGCATATTAGCCAGTGTTGCATCTCCATTAAATAAGATTTGTTTTAAGATCAATAATTTTGTACTTATTTAAGAAAATTGGTTGATGCACCTTTTTGTTCCAAGTCACAGAAAGTGATACAGTTAACAGAATACAAAGTGAATAAAGCAATTCATTAAGTAGTGGGTTGAGAGACTCATACACACACACACACAGATGCGCAGAGAGAGAGAGAGAGACAGACAGACAGACGCAGAGAGAGAGAGAATGAGAGAGAGAGACGCAGAGAGAGAGAGAGACGCACAGAGAGAGAGACGTAGAGAGAGAGAGACACACACAGAAAGAGACACACACAGAAAGAGACACACACAGACAGGAAGAGATAGCCAGAGACAGACGGAGACAGGGAGGGAGAGAGGGAGAGAGAAAGGGAGAGAAAAAGAGAGAGTGTGAGTGAGACAGAAAGAAAGAGGAAGAGAAGTGGGGGTGGGAGGGAGGAATGGTGCACTCCCATCTCAGTCTAAAAGGTGCTCAAGTAATCTCTTGCCACATTCCTCTGAAAGGCACAAGCAACTTTGAGATAAGCATTTAGAAAAAAAGAAGTCTTTGGTCTTTTGACCTCCTAAGCCCATTCCTCTATTTGATGAGGTGAC